CCCCCCCACCTGAACATAGTCTAGTTGTAAGGCGTTACCCTTCTCCAGCGAGAACAGGAGGAGGGGACAGTGAGGGGCAAGGCTGACATCTAAGCTTGGACCACATGGCCCTCTAGTGGCGGCAGAGACTCATGGTGACAGTAACCAATTATTCATGAGCTCAATGAATATTTATTGAGCATCCAGAGCTGTACCCTGAGGGAGCACGCAGGTAAATGTGCAGCCCTCCCACCTGTCACCGGCCCAGTAACTTTATCAAAAGCCTCAGTTCAAGTGCTTCCTGGGCACCTGTATGAATGAAAAAAATCCTACAGTAGGTTTGGGTTCAAAGGGGCGCAGGGATCAAGGGGGAACTTGGCAAGTCAGAGTCAGGGCACTGGGACATGGCGCACCTGAACAGGCAAGAAGCTAGCACAATCCCACCTGGGCACAGCAGCAGTGGTGGGATAATACCAACTTGCTACATTTCAGCCTCTGTGCTATGTGACTGGCAAACGCTTGGCCGGAGATGGGACTGCACCTCTCAAAGTCACAGAAAGCCGGGGGCAGCTGAGACTCCTCTGGGCAGGCGCCCGTTTCTCAGTATCATCAGCAGCACCCAGTTCCATTGCTTCTGACACCTCACCTGCTCAGGTGAGCTCTATAATGCCTAGGAGGGAGTCTCAGCCTGACTGAGCCAGGCTGCCCCATCTGCACAGCAAACAGTAGCTGGACCACGGCCGAACCCCACCTCACTGTGCCAGACACAGGCCCCTGCAAGCTCCTCACGTTGGCAGAGCTGGCGGGGGCTGCACACGAGCCTGCCCAACCTCCTCTGTTCAGATGGGGATGCTGGGGCCACCGTCACCTAGCATGCTCCTAGCTCCAAAGCTCAGAGGCCTTGCCTCCTAGACAAGTGCTGCTCCAGGTGTGGTCTGTGTACCGGAAGCACTGGCACCACCTTGCGGCAGGGGCGGGGGGCGGGGCGGTGGTTATGGTGAAATGCAGACTCTCAGGCCCTGCCCCAGATCTGCTGAGTGAGCACCTGCATTTTTAAGAAGATGTCCGTGTGTTTCGTATGCACTTTACAGTTTGAGGCCATCATTCTCTCCTCTACCTCACCGCACTGCCTCTCAGGCCACAAACACAGGCAACTCGCTCCGAACGTCCTGATACCCCGCAGGGAGCTGGAACTGTTTACAATGTCCTGGAGAGACTTGGAGGAGGGACTTGAGTTGGTCAAACTGGGTTTGAATCCCAGCTCTGCCACTCACTAGTGGTGTGACCCTGGCCCAGGTGACATCGTCTCTCTGAGGGTCAGTCTCCTCATTTATAAAACACAGACTCACGGAGACACTGCATGTGACACGCAGCACAGAGCCTGGCATGGAGCAGACGATCATCAAATGTTAGTGACAGTGACATGTCCTGAGTCTTGGGCCTGAGTCAGGCGGGGATACCTGCCTGCAGCAGCAGTGACAGCCCCTACCTGCCTTCTCCTTGATGACGCCCCAGTCCTCGAAGCTGTCGATGTGCTCCTTCAGCCGTGAGCAGAGCTGCACGTTGCCCACATAGTCCAGAAGGACATCGATGATGGGCCCTGCCCAGCGGCTCACCTCGGGGGCAGACAGGATCTCACAGAACTGAAAGAGAGAACACACCCGCACTGGGACACCCAGACCTCGGGCACCCACTCAACGAGCTCATTCTGCAGGTGGGAACCTAAGGCTGGCCAGGGCAGGGGACATGTCCTTCCCTCCAAAGTGTGCTAACTACTACGAGCCTACACTCTCTCCGAAGCGCATTAACTACTAGTTCACTGTCTCCAAAGCTTATTAACCATCATGCCTTTAACGTGCGGTCCAAGCTGCCTCCAAAGCAAGTGAACCACTAGTGCACACCGTCTTCGAAGCGCGCCCTCCTACCTGGACCACGCCGGGTTCTTTGTTGCCCGTGGGCGCGTCGCTGAACCTGCTGGAGGGCGGCGGGGCGGGCGGGTGCGGGCCGTTGCCGTACAGGCACGAGAAGCAGGGCTCGCCGTTGCAGCCGAGGTCCATGAGGAACTTGAGCAGCGACAGGCACTTCATGGCGAACATGATGGTGGCGGGGAAGGAGGTGGGGTGCGTGGCGATGTACGCGTCGATGTTGGCGCCGTGGTCCAACAGCAGCTGCATGGTGCGCAGGCAGCCGTGGCGGATGGCCACGAGCAGGGGGTTGATGACGTCGCAGTTGGGGTCGGCGCCGGCCAGCAGCAGCAGCTCGGTGGCGTACACGTTGTTGTTGACCACGGCGAAGTAGAGCGCCGAGCTGCGACGGTCCTCGTAGAGGCGCGCGCGCTCGGGCGCC